GTGTTTGCTCTTTTGCCAGTTGACCCGAAGGCCCAACAGGCTGAGGTGTGAAAGTACCAAATCCCTGTATTCGCACAACTGATCCTGAGACTGAGCGAGTATGAGCCAATCGTCGAGGTAGTTGAGAATGCGAATGCCCTGTTCTGTCATGGGAACAAGGGCTGTCTCCGCAACTTTCGTGAAGAGACGGGGCGACAGGGACAGCCCGAAGGGCAGGACCTTGTACTGATATGCCTGCCCCTCGAACGCAAACCGCAGGAATGGCCTGTGGCGCGGAAGGATCGACACATGGAAGTACGCATCCTTCAGGTCGATCGCTGCGAACCAATCTTGGGGACGGATACACCTGAAGATGCACTTCTGCATGAGCATTTTGGACGGGAGCATGTGAAGGGCCAGGTTGAAGATGCGCAGATCCAAGATGGGTCTCAACCCACCGCCTTTCTTGGGTACAATGAAGTAAGGGCTGTAAAACCCCGTCCTCATATCGGCTGGAGGAACCGGCTCTATCGCGTCCTTCGCCAGCAGGACTGTGATCTCTGCACGCAAGACAGGGGCATCTGCTGCTTTCACTGAAGTAAAGTGGACGCCCCTGAACTTGGGAGGGCGCCGGGCAAACTGAATCGCATAGCCGAGCCTGACGGTTTGAAGGAGCCATCGAGATGGGCTGGGTAGCTCTAGCCAGGCTCCCAGACACCGCACAAGTGGCATCAACGGAACTACAGGCGTACCCGCAGTGGGGCAGCATGGAAGAACGCAGGGACTTGGCCCGGGCATCTCGTAGCCGGTCCGAGGCGGAGTCTGGGTGTGTGTAACACTGACCTGCGTTCGAGCAGAGGGTGCGTGGGTAGTCCGTTGTAGTCATTTTAATTTCCATATGCTGCAAATCTGATAAGAAGATCAAACTTACTCCATTGAGGCCAATTAATCGTCCTGGTGGCCCTGGAGGTCCAGTTGGACCTGGTGGACCCTTGAATACGGGTAAGCCATTATATTTAATTATATTTAAAAATATGAAATATACTGGAAGCATTATGTCTTAAAGATGTTAACATACAGGGGGACCACTAGAATGTCCCTTGTCCCCTTTCCTTCCAGCTATTCCAGGCCGGCCCTAAAAAAAAAATTTGTGGAACTAAACATTTATGAGATTTATGAATGAAATTGTAAACAAACAAACAAACCATCAAACAAAATGTATAAAACTAACCGGTCGACCAGGAAGTCCATATTCTCCTTTTTGTCCAGGTGGTTCAATCAGCCCCTAAAGATCAAAGAAAAACATACATATTCTCTGATAGAAGTATTTATGCATGCATGCTTTATTTTTTGTGTGAGAGATGCATCTTACCACAATCCCAGGCTGTCCAGAAGGGTCGATGTCTCCCTGCAAAGTACAACAATGTCAATGTCAGACCGCTGAGGAACAACACAAAAAGTTCAAGTTCAAAAGTAAATAGTTTCAACCTTCATTCCCTTCGGTCCTCTGGGTCCTCTCAGGCCTGTTATTAGAGAGCCATCAGCAGCTATGGATACGACTGGCTCCCCCTTTTCTCCCTATTAGACAATACAACAAATGATATTCTTTTCATAAAACTTGACTTTAAGGCAATCCTGATCAAGTAATGTAGTTTGTCACATATGAGTAATAAGTGAAAAGTCTACTTTCATTAAAGGTGCTGTAAGCAATTTCAGCCAAGTTCTGCTAACCTGAACACATACGAGAGAGAAAGCGTTGGCCTCTCTTTGACAGTGTTTAGAGTTTCTGGGTCCTCAAGAGACCTATTTCAAAGATCTCCGAGTTGGTAAAAGCATTTTATGTGTGCTATTCAAATATAGCTTAGAGCACCTTTACAGTAAGCAATCAGATGTGAATAGGCCTGTCGCAATAATCAATATATCGACTTATCGCGTACATGACCTCAATCATTTTTGGTGACGCAATATATTGCCCATTATATTTACTTAAAAATGTATGTCACAATGTTTTGTACATTCCACTTGCGCCTGTGTCTTTTGCAAGTGTGCACTCTTAATTTACAGAGAAAAGAAGGTAAGGGAAAAATCTGTAGATGGAAAAATCTCCATACCATTTCTTTGTGCATTTTTCTTTTTTTCTACTTGTTACTTTGCACTTTTTTGTCAGAAAATGTTTATTTACTATTTATTCAGGTTTTTTTTAAGGTATCTTAATTTCCATGATCTAAATATTCTTAAAAATTAAAAGCTTGTAGTCATTTGTAAGTGTGTAGGCCTTCTTGCATTATTATGCTGTTACATTATGATTATATATTCAGTGGCATAAAATGGGCTTTAAAATGACAATAATATCACTTATCGCAATTATTTCTGGGTCAATATATCTCACAACAAAAAGTTGTTATCATGACAGGCCTAGTTGTTAAGGCTAAATTACAGTGTTGAAGATAGCAGCTCAGATTTATTAATACTTGAAAATAAAATGAGCTCTCATTTGGAAATTTGTCATGTCAATCGTGTGGTAATGATGGGAGAGTTTATGCTTCATTTTGTACAGAAAGTTATTTCTGATCACATTTTAAACTCATACCTTTAGTCCTGGAGGTCCTTGAATACCTGGGAACTCAATTTCACCTTTTGGTCCTCTTGGGCCCTGAGCATTATAACATTCAAGCAAGTTAGTTCCACCATTATAGTGGTTTATTTGGAATTTTATATCCCCAAACACCAGAGCAAGCTCAATAAAAGCTCTACTCAAAATCATATGAAATTTAAAAAAATATTTTCAGCTTAGCCAGTGGCAATTTTGATTACCACAAAAATGTATTTCCATTTGTTACTCCTTTCTTTAAAAACATAAAGAAAGTTTACATAACACTGTAAACCATCTTGTAAACCATCTTTATAACTCATTACATATGCAATGCAGAAGAATTGATATAAGTGCTTATATAAGTTTAGAAGCTTCCCATTTCTGCTTTTTAATGCTCCAAAAACTCCATTCACTTCCACTGTGAGTGCCTCAATGTAACCTTTTGTTGTTGTTGTTGAAGACAATGGAAGTGATTGAACTTGCATTGAACCTGGAATCTTCATTTAATAGTGGTTTCTGTCATCTCATTTGGAAATTTGTCATGTCAATCGTGTGGTAATGATGGGAGAGTTTATGCTTCATTTTGTACAGCAAGTTATTTCTGATCACATTTTAAACTCATACCTTTAGTCCTGGAGGTCCTTGAATACCTGGGAACTCAATTTCACCTTTTGGTCCTCTTGGGCCCTGAGCATTATAACATTCAAGCAAGTTAATTCCACCATTATAGTGGTTTATTTGGAATTTTATATCCCCAAACACCAGAGCAAGCTCAATAAAAGCTCTACTCAAAATCATATGAAATTTTAACACATACGAGAGAGAGAGCGTTGGCCTCTCTTTGACAGTGTTTAGAGTTTCTGGGTCCTCAAGAGACCTATTTCAAAGATCTCCGAGTTGGTAAAAGCATTTTATGTGTGCTATTCAAATATAGCTTAGAGCACCTTTACAGTAAGCAATCAGATGTGAATAGGCCTGTCGCAATAATCAATATATCGACTTATCGCGTACATGAGCTCAATCATTTTTGGTGACGCAATATATTGCCCATTATATTTACTTAAAAATGTATGTCACAATGTTTTGTACATTCCACTTGCGCCTGTGTCTTTTGCAAGTGTGCACTCTTAATTTACAGAGAAAAGAAGGTAAGGGAAAAATCTGTAGATGGAAAAATCTCCATACCATTTCTTTGTGCATTTTTCTTTTTTTCTACTTGTTACTTTGCACTTTTTTGTCAGAAAATGTTTATTTACTATTTATTCAGGTTTTTTTTAAGGTATCTTAATTTCCATGATCTAAATATTCTTAAAAATTAAAAGCTTGTAGTCATTTGTAAGTGTGTAGGCCTTCTTGCATTATTATGCTGTTACATTATGATTATATATTCAGTGGCATAAAATGGGCTTTAAAATGACAATAATATCACTTATCGCAATTATTTCTGGGTCAATATATCTCACAACAAAAAGTTGTTATCATGACAGGCCTAGTTGTTAAGGCTAAATTACAGTGTTGAAGATAGCAGCTCAGATTTATTAATACTTGAAAATAAAATGAGCTCTCATTTGGAAATTTGTCATGTCAATCGTGTGGTAATGATGGGAGAGTTTATGCTTCATTTTGTACAGAAAGTTATTTCTGATCACATTTTAAACTCATACCTTTAGTCCTGGAGGTCCTTGAATACCTGGGAACTCAATTTCACCTTTTGGTCCTCTTGGGCCCTGAGCATTATAACATTCAAGCAAGTTAGTTCCACCATTATAGTGGTTTATTTGGAATTTTATATCCCCAAACACCAGAGCAAGCTCAATAAAAGCTCTACTCAAAATCATATGAAATTTAAAAAAATATTTTCAGCTTAGCCAGTGGCAATTTTGATTACCACAAAAATGTATTTCCATTTGTTACTCCTTTCTTTAAAAACATAAAGAAAGTTTACATAACACTGTAAACCATCTTGTAAACCATCTTTATAACTCATTACATATGCAATGCAGAAGAATTGATATAAGTGCTTATATAAGTTTAGAAGCTTCCCATTTCTGCTTTTTAATGCTCCAAAAACTCCATTCACTTCCACTGTGAGTGCCTCAATGTAACCTTTTGTTGTTGAAATGTATCTTACCCTGTCTCTCCTGGCATTCTGTGACAGAATCTAGCAGCCACTACAAGATCCAGCAGTTTGTTTTTCTTTTTACCTTTTTTTTGTGGACCATGGACATTCGTATTATTCCTCCTGCTTCAAAGGAGCGCAAGGCTCGGCTCTTGATGTTGGTGGATCTTCGCCAACAGGGGATGGAGATTGGAGGTTTCGCTCAGACCTTTTGGAACTTTGCGGTAGGGATGTAACTTTATGACTCTGATTTAAAGATTTTTATTGATTTTTTAGACAACCCCGTGCCTCCTCGGGAGATGGGTGGGCTTAAGATTCTTGACTTTTGGGGTCTCATTGAGTATCTCAGTTACCACAACTTGGTAATCATGTCAGTGTTGCCTGGCAGGATTCCGGCTCTGCTCTGGTTGCCCGCCTGGGTTCCTGTTTGGCAGGAGCCTCACTGGCTCATTCCTCCGGCTTCATCCTGGCTATCTGCTGTGTGATTCCTGTGTGGTTGGGGCCTTGCTGGTTCATCCTGCCAGTCCCGCCTTGGCCTTTCACCCTGCCGGTTCTGTGCTCATGCCCTGGTCTATCTCTGTCCCCTGGCCCCCTTCCATTGTATGGTCCTGGCCCACCGTCCCCCCCCCTGGCCCGCCTCAATTCCACCTCCCTCCTGAACTTTTGTGTGTTCTGGTGGAGCGTCTGGTATCCGCTCCGTAGAGGGGGGGGGGAATGTCACAGGGTGGACTGGCCACTTGAGGGCGCTCTTCCTGTTTCTGTTTTATGTGTTAAACTCCATTTCCCATAGTCCCTTGCTTGTTAATTCTGTTCTGATCAGTAGCACCTGTTTATCATTTACTCATTACCCCATCTATATATACCATGCTCACTCTGTCTGTCTTTGCTGCTAGATTGTATTGTCTTCTGAGTTCATAGTTGTCTCATGTTCATGTTTTCTGTTCTGTGTTTTGGATTACCTTTTGCCATGTTTTTGTTCTGTTCATTTGTTAATTTCATTAAACTGCAAATGGATCTTACCTAGTCTCTCCTGGCATTCCGTGACAGTTTCTACCATAGAATTGAGGTGAGAAATGTACCAACCACCAAATTATGAATGAATGAGGCATTTATATAGCACTTTATTGTGTATTGCTGTACACCCAAAGCACTTTACATTCATGAGGGGGTCTCTCATCAACCAACACCAGAGTGCAGCATCCACCTGGATGATGCGACGGCAGCCATAGTACAACAGCACCAGTGCGCTCCCCACACACCAGCTACAGGTGGAGAGGAGAGAGACAGAGCCAATTCAGTGGATGGGGATTATTAGGAGCCTGAGGCCATGATTGACAAGGGCCAGTGGAGGGAATTTGGCCAGGACACCGGGGATACACCCCTACTCTTTACGAGAAGTGCCATGGGATTTTTAGTGACCACAGAGAGTCGGGCCCTCGGTTTAAAGTCTCATCTGAAGGACGGCACTTTTTACAGTATAGTGTCCCCATCACTACACTGGGGCGTTAGAACCCACACAGACTGCAGGGTGAGCACCCCCTGGTGGTCTCATTAACACCTCTTCCTGCAGCAACCTAGTTTTCCCAGGAGCTCTCCCATCCAGGTACTGACCAGGCTCAACCCTGCTTAGCTTCAGTGGGCAACCAATCTTGGGCTACAGGGTGATATGGATATTATATACATTCTATGACACTGTAAAGTAAACTGGCAAATCCATACACCGATAGATCATATGACAAGACTGAAACCAGTAAAACACTATGAAGATAGGTCAGTCCATCTCAAGTGGGCCAAAACTTGGTTGCTTGACCTTTTTTTTTTTTTTTTTTTTTTTTTTTTTTTTGAGTGATTACCTACATATGTGTATTGGTGCTGCAAAATTTATTGCACAGTGGTATTGCAAAACTACCATTTTTGTTTTTAATTTACTTGGTTTAACCAGAGTGTTTGTCTTTTAAAATTAAAAATGGTCACGCAAACTCCATAGGACCACTTGTACTCAGCAACTTAGTTAGTTGCATTAGCTTAGCAACTTTATTATCATCAGCATATAATCTTGAAATAGTTTCCATGTATAAAGCAGACAGAAAATTAATGGCTTCCTTACAGGGAATCCTGCTCTGCCAGGCAAGCCTTCAGGGCCCTACAACATACACCACACACACACACACACACAGAAGCAAGCAAAAAAGCATTAGCAATGATATGGATGCGATGCATGATCAAAGAACAAACCCATTCCAGATCATGTGGAAATGCCAGGCATTTAGCAGCATTGTGCTGTGAGGGGTGCAAGATCTTGCAGTTTTAGATATCCTCAGAGCTGCTATTGCAGCCTGACATCTGTACTATCCATGTTAAACGTGCAGTATCTTAAAAAGCTTTTGAGGGGAAAACAGTGAGCCTTACGTACCATAGGGCCTGGCGGTCCTCTGATCTTAGTGAGGTTCAATTTGGCAGCAGTATCATTAAGGAGCTGGAGGAAAAAAATTAATCGTTATTTTTTAAAAATCATTCTTTTAGGATCTCAAGCAAAATTTAGCAGCAAAGCAGGTTACCAGACTTTATACTTACAGCCTGGAAGTTAATGATCGGTCCAGGAGGGCCAGGGGGACCGGGAAGCCCTATGATGCTCAGACCATCACAACCTTGCACCCTAAGTCACAATTAATAGAGCAATTTACAACATGATCTACACACAAAGTGAAATTTGTCTCAGACTGCAAAAATCATACAGTGTTTAATTCGTTTGAGATGAATATGATCATGCATTATTCATCATTTGGTGTAAAACAATAAAATACCTTCTCTCCTGGACTGCCCTTGTACCCCATTGGCCCCTGTTTAGGACTGGGACAAGGTAACAAAAAACAGCAAAAACATTACACATTTATTGTGCCACAGCTACTAAAGCCATTTTTATCATTTGCACGCAACATAAAAATCGACCCATAACTTATTACTGCTAGAACACTTATTTAGTATTCAGTATTTCAGTAATTGTCCCATTTGAAACATTAGTATATAATCTCTTTTCAAAGTACTCCAAGAATGCAAGAAATAGAAGACTGACCCTGGCACCAGGTAAACCAGCTGAGCCTAGTATTCCATCCTTTCCTGGGGATCCTGGTTCACCCTGGATAGAGAAGAGACAGGGATCAGGAAACATATTCATGACATTAGCCCTAATCGGACGGTAATTGTTATTGTTTTTAAGTTATTTTCAACAACTACAGGGGCCTTTCTCTCATTTTCCTGCCTTCCAAATTTTCTCCCACCACCCACAAAAAAATTCTAATTACCTGCTGTTTTTTGACAAACACAAAGGTTGCATGGTAATTTAATCCTCATTTTGTAAATCCTTTTTGACCACTGCCAAGAACCATATGGTTAAACGCGATAATTTGCATGAATTTAAAAAAATGGATGTCTTCATTATTGCAATGCTGAAAGTATTTACAAGAGCAATATTTCATCACCGCTCTACTACAACTGTTAAGGGAACTGTTAAGAACAAGTAGAAGAAAGAGAAGAAAACCACGTTTGAAATGGGCTGTTATGGCAGCAACAGGTATGCAATACAATTTTTTAATATGTACTGTATTCAATTATATACATTAAAAATATAAACCAAGTAGCCGGGTCAAATATTTACCTTATGTAAATAAGAGTATGCATTAACTTATTTCTGCTAATTTCTACATTTTTAATATGTCATCCATCATTTTGAGATTAAAATGCAACACAGAAAACCATTTACAGTACACTTACAGTGTGTCCATTGTCCTATTATTAAATAGCATATTTAAATAAGTAATACATCAATTTGATGGGATTTTCCTATTATTAAATTAAATATTCATTAATTGTTTGTCCAAGCAATGTGACTGAACATGTGGCTGGCTGACCATGTGAGAAGTGCAAGTATACGTGGTCCGAAAGGACTCACAACTATACAGTGAATTTATCTTCATCCAAAACGCATGAACTTTATCACTGAGTAGCCAAGTAGATTTATTTTTACTGGAGTGCTCATGAGCTTCACAAGGGTGTTTATATGTACAGTATATGTAGCTTTTTAGTGTGACTATAGTGTAGTTTGACAAACCTTTATAGACAAACCAGGGGCTCCATCAGCACCAGGAAGTCCCTACAGAAAAGAAACAGAACAGGTATATTAATAAAATATAATATATTGTTAATTTACCCACACAAAACACACCAAAACCATTACATTGGAATGAATGAATTAATGAATTAATGAATGGATCAATCAATCAATAGAAATATATTTCGTTTAGCTATACATTTATTTTAATACTGCTTTTTGATAATCAAAAGAATAAATACAATACAATTCATACTTAATATTTCAGAGGATAAACAGATCTGAGGTCCTGGTGGGCCAGGCAGACCAGGAGGCCCCTTAAAAAAATCAGATAAGGTCCATTCAACAAAACTTTTGATCAAAGAAAATGATCTTTGAAATGACCAATGTAGCTTGCAATGATACACCCAAGGATAATGAAGGACCTTGATATGTGAATAGAGAATGACACAATAGTTGTGATGGTTTTGTACACTCACTTGATAACCTTTTGAAATTCCGTCTCCAAGAAACAATCTGCTTTCACCAGAACCCTCCAAATCCTGTCAGAATAAAACACCTCCTGTCCTTAGACTAATGAGTACAGAAGCAAGACCCATTTGAAAGCTGCAGAAATAATAATTAAGGTTCTGAATGGATGAAATGGTGTGCTGACCTTGAAAAGTGATGTTTGAAGAGTTTCTACCCCAAATAACTGGTATTATCTCAAAACCAATACAGCTCTCTTTTAAAGGTTTGATTTACTTTTTAAACTAAAGTGCTTCACTAAAACAATTAGAACATATTTTCATAACCAAGAAAAAATTGGAACAGATGTGACCCTTGAATTGTCCTGTTATTGTCATGTGAATTTAGCCTGTTTTGCTTTGGCCTTTGATATGGAGCACATTTTCCACAAAATCATGCACTAAGTACATGACCTACAAAGGCTAAGCAGGCAAACCTGACTTGTATTTAAAGTATGTATAGTTTTCAAGAAACATTTGAGATCTGATTATCCATGATTATAACGGTTTCAGATTTGCTTTGGCCTTTGATATGGAGCACATTTTCCACAAAATCATGCACTAAGTACATGACCTACAAAGGCTAAGCAGGCAAACCTGACTTGTATTTAAAGTATGTATAGTTTTTCAAGAAACATTTGAGATCTGATTATCCATGATTATAACGGTTTCAGATGAACCTTTAGCAGTAGTCTGTTGTTGACCATAATGTCCTGCATTTAATGTGAAATCCCAAAAAGGTGTTTAACCAAAAACAGAAAAGGACTTTGGTTATATCTATTGTAATATTGATGACTTTCAGACCTTGAAAGTGTCCATCATGAAGTTATTACTTAAAGGTCCTGGTGCACCAGGAGGGCCAGGTGACCCAGGTACACCCCTCGGTCCTATATAGGTCCAATAGGGCCAGGGTCACCATTTTCACCCTTTAGAAGAAGAATGGAAAGAGAGAGAGAGAGAGAGAGAGAGAGAGAGAGAGAGAGAGAGAGAGAGAGAGAGAAATAATTAAAATTTAACATAATGAATGCTTTATCTTCATGTCGATTAAATATGCGGTCATACTGGCGAAATTTCAATAAGCTCTATTGATGTATGAAGCACAGTTCACACAGAAGTCTCTTTCAAACCTAGCAGCTTTCTATTGGTCAATGTGGTGAATCTGTGTGATCAACTTGAACCTGTTATGAATTCTGTGTGAAATTCCTCATTGAATATTCTTGATGGCATATAGATTCCTATTAAAATGACTCAATTTCGTCCAGGAAAATTTGTTTAATACAGCCTCCAACCTTCTTAGAATAGATTCAAACAACTTTTGAATAGTCTCTAGTTGAATATTGTCTATAGAAACACCTGCCAATTGCTTTAGAGATCTTGAAGGATGGAATATGCTTCTCACTTTTCTGTCCAAAACTATCCACAGTGGATTGATAAAAGTCAAGGTGATTTGTCAGTCCAGAGCAGATGATAAAGTTCATCTTGGTGAAAAACTTTATGAACAGATTTTTTTTTTTGCGTTTTAGTATAGGTGTCTATGATTACAATTTTAGCAGTTGCAGCTCTTTCATGGATGTTGGCTTTGAGAAGTTCTCTGTGACCGTTTTTTGTGGAAAAGGGTGAATATTGAGGCTTGCCGTCGCTTTGGTCTTTTGGGTTGGACACAATCCTTCTTAGCGCTAAACGGTCGCCATCATACTACTGAACAAAACTTATACTACACTGTGATACAAACTAGAGACAAGGAAAAGAAAAACAAAACAAAAGATAACTTCAACTTTTTTTTTCACAGTAGTCTGAGAAATTATATTAACCCCTATAATTATGGGCGTTCATGTTATTTTGTCTAATCCTAGTATATTATTATGTTGTGTTTCAACATAATATTAAAATTGACATTGCTGTTAGTACAAGCAGACAGTTCAAAATAAAAAAAGACAGATTTTCTCCAACGTGAAATGCATCTTTGAAGCCTGTGTGTTCATCCCCTTTCAACCTGTACTGCCATTGGTTTTCTGTCAAACTACAAAAAAGCATCTACAACTAATGTTCAACTATGTTTTACTGAGAAATACCTTTGATGTTTGTTTGTATATATCATTATTCCTCTAGAGAGAGAGAGAGAGAGAGAGAGAGAGAGAGAGAGAGAAATAATTAAAATTTAACATAATGAATGCTTTATCTTCATGTCGATTAAATATGCGGTCATACTGGCGAAATTTCAATAAGCTCTATTGATGTATGAAGCACAGTTCACACAGAAGTCTCTTTCAAACCTAGCAGCTTTCTATTGGTCAATGTGGTGAATCTGTGTGATCAACTTGAACCTGTTATGAATTCTGTGTGAAATTCCTCATTGAATATTCTTGATGGCATATAGATTCCTATTAAAATGACTCAATTTCGTCCAGGAAAATTTGTTTAATACAGCCTCCAACCTTCTTAGAATAGATTCAAACAACTTTTGAATAGTCTCTAGTTGAATATTGTCTATAGAAACACCTGCCAATTGCTTTAGAGATCTTGAAGGATGGAATATGCTTCTCACTTTTCTGTCCAAAACTATCCACAGTGGATTGATAAAAGTCAAGGTGATTTGTCAGTCCAGAGCAGATGATAAAGTTCATCTTGGTGAAAAACTTTATGAACAGATTTTTTTTTTTGCGTTTTAGTATAGGTGTCTATGATTACAATTTTAGCAGTTGCAGCTCTTTCATGGATGTTGGCTTTGAGAAGTTCTCTGTGACCGTTTTTTGTGGAAAAGGGTGAATATTGAGGCTTGCCGTCGCTTTGGTCTTTTGGGTTGGACACAATCCTTCTTAGCGCTAAACGGTCGCCATCATACTACTGAACAAAACTTATACTACACTGTGATACAAACTAGAGACAAGGAAAAGAAAAACAAAACAAAAGATAACTTCAACTTTTTTTTTCACAGTAGTCTGAGAAATTATATTAACCCCTATAATTATGGGCGTTCATGTTATTTTGTCTAATCCTAGTATATTATTATGTTGTGTTTCAACATAATATTAAAATTGACATTGCTGTTAGTACAAGCAGACAGTTCAAAATAAAAAAAGACAGATTTTCTCCAACGTGAAATGCATCTTTGAAGCCTGTGTGTTCATCCCCTTTCAACCTGTACTGCCATTGGTTTTCTGTCAAACTACAAAAAAGCATCTACAACTAATGTTCAACTATGTTTTACTGAGAAATACCTTTGATGTTTGTTTGTATATATCATTATTCCTCTACTATTAAATCTGTACTCCCACATAAACCGAACCCCCCCAAAAAGATATCTAATAACTTCTAAAGTATCTAACAGACCTCTGTTAGCTATTTGTAAGGAGCAACGTGCGATGTAAAGCCTTAGCAAGTATTTGACTGGAAAAAATACATGCATAAATATAACAAGGTATCCTAATCCAAATCTAAGTTTGCATTCAGGCAAATATGGGCAAGCAGATATTGTTGGAGAGACAATGCTGTCTTTTCCAACCTACTGAATCAGTGACCTGAACGAACCAGGGCAATACCTGTCCTTTACCAAAACCCGAGCCAAACCCAGAGTCAGTGCCAGACCTACTAAATCAGTTCTCAAATAGCTGGGCAATCGAAAGAAGGAAAGAAGACAACATGAATCAGCTAAGGGCTGAGGTACAACCATCATTTAGCAACACTAGGAAGTCTTAAGAAGTGCTTGATGGGGAATGAATAATTTATCAGCTGGTCTGAGTTACTTATCATTTTACATTGCTTCATTTCAAGTTGTCTGAGTGCATTAGACATCATATGTAATATGAGATGTCAGGGCCAACAGGAGGAGCAGATAAGATATGAATTCTTACGAAATGTAATCTTTTTTTCTGTAAGCCTTTCTTCAGCAACTGATTTAACTGAAAAGAGAACAACTATGTTTTACTGAGAAATACCTTTGATGTTTGTTTGTATAAGTCCAGGTTGCCCATTTCTGCCATCCTTGCCAGGGGCACCTGATGGTCCAGGCAGTAAACCCCTTAAGGGACCATTAGGACCAGGCGGGCCAGTTTTCCCTGGAGGCCCTGGAGGACCAGGTGGACCCTATGAAATTATTGTTTATAGAGATATACAACCTTTACTTTTAAATGCCATTAAATACAGTCTGTACTGTAACAATATCTTCAAAACATGGGCAGATTTACTCACTCTAAGAAGTTCTGTATCAATATCAACATCTCCAAATCCAGAGCAGAGAGCATCAAATCCATACTGTCATTGAAAATGGAGATACATTTTAATAAACAGGCTGCACAGCATTATGAATCTAATTAGTTTCATAACTGACATTTTGCAACATTGACACTGTTATTGAACTGATCTAAACCAACAATGAATTGACTCAAAATGAATTACGACACTATTGTCTTTTTAGAGCTGCTTTACAGGAGAATTTTAATTTATCTAATATTTGATTATATTTATTTGGTCATTAATACTGTTATTTTTCTGTTTATTACTAAATAAATCATCTTTATTGTATAAAGCGTTATATAAATGTAGATGACGACATCAAAATACATCAGATTTACAGTTGCCAAAAAACATTGTCTGGAGAAATAGTGCAGTTACAAATCACATACTTTGGTAACAAATGCAGTTCCCCCCCCCATATGAAGTAATACTTAAAGCCACACAGTTTGTGTAATATACTCACTGGAACTTTAATTGGTCTGGATGGCCCTGGTGGTCCGGGAAGCCCTAGTGGACCAGGCAAACCAGGCCGACCAACCCCAGGATCACCCTAAAAAAGAGTTACTGTAAATAGAATGAAATACAAGCAAAACAACAGGCCATAGCGGGATGTTCTCGTTGCACTGTGGCATTGTGGATAATCACATGTTTGGGACGCTCAACTGCATTATCCCTCACCTTTTCTCCTTTGACTCCAGATTCTCCACGTAATCCTGTGTAGGATTTCTATCCATAACAGACACTGATATGCCATGGAATCATCCCAGCACATGACTCCAATATTCGGGGGCGATTTCCTGTCAGTCTTGTCTCATCTACACATGAGATCTAAACTAATTAAATCAGGAGACAACAAAGCTTTCTTTGTATCAGAACTGGAAAGTTCATTCACAACATATAGAAACCACGATGTCTTGTGACCACCAATGAATGTAACTATTATATCCAAACAGGAAAAGGACAGTAATTTAATCACGCCCTCAGGCCTGCAAGCACGGGATCTAATACGTGACTACCCCATGACTTTCGACCACCTGCTTCCCTCCCTTCCTTTCTCTATTAGCAGAGGAAACGCGGAAATGACATGGACCAAGTTTAAAAAACAACATTTAAAATCATTTAAAGTATCGGAGCAATACAGAGAACCACACAGGGCGTGGCTAAGCCCGCACCCACCATCTGATTGGACAACGACCTGTGGGCTGGACAAAAGTCAGCCTGCTTAAAAATGGACACCAGACCCTTACGCTCTTGCTCGCTCTATCTCTCGAAAGAACTGTGGCTTTCCGCCTTGGTGAGTGCGACAAAAGGCGCTTCCATGCCGTAACATCGCACAGCGAGACTCCAGAACTCAAACACTTCAGTTGACACTTCGCGATTTTCAAAGAACTTAAAGCCTTGCAAACTCAGACTTTTAGCAGAACTGCTCAAGCCTCTACGTCATTAAGAAAGCAACCAATCCAACGAGGTCTTCCCCAAAGGGACGTCATCCTGACGTCAACGCAACAGCCAATCAGCAACGGAATCCCCTCCAGTAGCCACGAGGAATGACTCAGATTTCAGCTGTCACCCAAAGCAAAACGCAAGTAAATGAACAAAATCTTCTATCTGCTGAACTGACGCTGATGATTGATTTAAGCAGTAAACGGAAGACAAAATATCTGCTTTGTGAATTCTCTCAGGCTGAATTTAAAACCACTAGTGGAAACGAGTGTTAGAACCAAGAAAACTTCATGCAACTCCGTTAACTAATTTCCTTGAATCTTTGTGTGTATGTGTGTGCATGTGTATGTTTTAGCTTATTTTTAATGTAATCTAGAATAGCCAATAAAATGTGTGTTTCATTGATAAAGAATCATTGTCTGATGTCATATAACTTTCAAGTCAAACCCTTGCCAAAGATCACGTTACCTAGCTCATAGCTTACTTATCAAAGAAACGTATTACCCGTGGCCAGGGAAATACAAAGATTCAAGTTGTTAAAATATACTGAGATCACCGGCTCGCTGGACGACCGTTGATTTAAAGTGTAAACTATCAAATTTGAATTCAGTTTTAATCAGGTGGACCTCGAATTTTCAGAATCGAGTTCTTTCAAACCCTGAATTAATTAATAATAATTCATTCCCTAAAATTAAGTAATCAAAGACATTACACCTGGAAGTCCTGGTGGTCCTCTCTGCCCCTGTATTAAAGAGACACTGTATTGAACATGAAGCCATACAAATTTAATTATATTCTATCCTCCATTTTTCAACTTGGAAGTACACTATTTCTTGTGATTCTTAAATTTTTTAGCTTCTATAGGTAAATAACTAGAAGAATAACAAGTTAAAATTCAAGTTAAAAATGACCATGCTTGTTCATCTCAGAGCACTGCTAAGGTCATTTCATTAGCACTTTAATTACTGTCCTGTTCTGCAAGTACATACTATGTACTTTTTATAGTTATTACAATAACTATGTAATAACTACTGTAGGTATTAAACCTAACCCACGGGAAGTACAATGTAAGTACAGGTAAGTGTATGCACTTTAAAATAAAGTGCAACCTAATTTTCTTTGTTGTTATAAATCTAAAGTGTCAAATATGTCTCTTATTTTTAGTTCTACCAGAAAGGATTATCCAATTAGCAGTCATATGTGCACAATAGTGTTGATATATCATTTGAACTTGATATACACTGTACTGAACTGGCAATAGAATGCCGCTGATGAATCCCAGGGGTGGTAACGAGCGTGGGCAGAGAGGAATAGGACGGAACTGCCGAGGAGAGACAGGCCTGTGAGTAGCGAGAGCCATGGAAGTGGGCCGACCAGAGCTCTAGGGAGGCAGGAGGGTAGAAAGGGGGAGGTGACAAATACAGGAACGCCAGACCGACTAGACTAGAAAAAATAAATAAAAAAACTGATTCAGACAAACACAGCATGGACAGAGACGATCTAAGCTGCTGCACAACATATTACGGACTGACACAAGATAGCATCCAAGAGGGCCTGATAAAGGAGAGAATAATGAGGACAAAACGAGGTGCATGTGAGAAGGGAGAATTAGCTAACATGGATAACGTGAGGAGCGGGGTGAACACCAAGATGACAACAGAGCACATGGCAAGCCGTCAAAACAAAAGACCATGTGCTCCATGATAACAAAACCCAAGAAGACCCCACCGAAATCATGACAGCTCCCCTTTTTGCCCCTGACCAGAACCCTGACACAGTTCAAGAGGAAATCTTATACTTGAACATGCAGCATTATTACATAATTTTAACCATCATATACTGAGCATTACTCATTATCTTATTAATCAATTTATTAACATGTCTAAATGAAGTCAGTTAATTCAAAAATAAGTATATTTTTTCTTGCTACAACTGGAAATAAATGCGTAACACTTACATCCACTGTACGGACCGTAACCCTCCCAGTCCACCAGGTACTGGAAACCCCTGCCACGATGACGAACATCTAGTAATCTCCTAACCGAATAGACAGGAGAGCCATCCACTAGACGAGGGGGAGGGGGGCAGGGGATGAAATGTTGGCATTAAGGCGAGACCTGAACACAGGCTTGACCCTGGATACATGAAAAACAGGGTGCACCCGACCAAGAGAGGGAGGCAACTTGAGCCGTACCGCCACCGGATTGAGGACCTTGGTGATCTGGTATGGGCCAATGAACCTAGGCGCTAACTTGCGAGAGACAGCCTTGAGAGGCAGGTCCTTGGTAGACAGCCATACCTTCTGACCACAGACATAACGGGGCGCTGGAATCTGGTGACGATCAGCCGCTGCTTTGGTCCATCTGGAGGCCTGGACCAAGACCTTCCTAGCCTTCCTCCAGACACTACGACATCTCCGGACAAAGGCTAGGGCAGACGGTACAGCCGCATCGGGTTCCTGAGAGGGAAACAAGTGAGGTAGATAGCCAACAGAACATTCAAAATGTGACATGCCGGTGGATGCTGCTGGGAGAGTATTATGGGAATACTCAATCCACGTGAGCTGT